GCCATCAAGACCAGGTCGTGAAATACTTCAAAAGACAAACGCGACCAGACGATTATTATTCAGAGGAGAATCATGTGTAGAACAGCCATAAATAAAGGTTGGTGTCGTGATTTCGATCCTTTCGAGCGCACATGCGCATTAGCTCAGGCAACCAGTAAAAATGCTGATTTAGTTTGATTTGAATATTTAGAAACAAATGCTACACTTGCTATTTAATTTTATTGACGATTCCAAATATGTAATATAATCGTAAGCTTGGCAAACAGTTTCGGAAAACTTGATGTAGATATTAAAAGATGAGTGAGAGGGTTAATTGTCAACAAAACTTCCATGGCGACTAATTTAAGTGAATTTATTTATAAACTAATTTTGAGAGGATCTCGTGCTTATGATTAACCACAGCTGGTCCTGCGTTAGCTAAAGCATTATTCACTAATCGAATGATTCCTAACTCAATATAAATAACCAGAGTTCCTTACCTCAGTCATCTTCATCTTGTAGAATCCCCCCTTCCACCCCTACTCCTCCTTTCTTTTTCTTGATAGGACGGCATGGTGGCCCAGTTCCCTCACAGCAAGAATGTCACTGGTCCAAATCACTAATAGGCCAGTCAATGTTTCTGTGCGGAGTTTACATGTTCTCCCGACGCTTGCATGGGTTTCCCTCATGTTCTTCGGTCAACAGTCCAAAAACTTGACATATAGATGAATTGAACAAATCAAATTAGCGCCATGGATGAGCTCTTAATCAACAGTATATCTCTTCATAGCAGTCCCTAATTTGTCATTAGCCCTAAATAACGGGGGGTTCTCGAGACTTACATGTAACTGAGCTCAAACTCCCCTCAAACTCCCCTCTCGCCCCCTGCAAATGGTAGGGTGCCCGGGACTGTAGGATCTTCTGAGCTCAGGGCTCTCTCTAAGGATAGCATGCCAAAAACGCTTTATAATCAATAATCAGCTAATTTTAAACTCTTTAAAAGTCTCCGATGTGTTCAGAAACTTAACAAAAACAAATGTAATTGGTTAGAATGACCAGCGAGACTGTTTCATATTTTAGTTTTACTAACATGGATGCATCTCTATCTCAATTTCAGATGCGTTTTTGTTTATTTTAACAGCATTTTGCCACAAACCACTGTCAATATCCGACCATCGTACTGAACTGCCTTGTATTACTTAATAACTTTGACATTATTCAATTTAGTTCACCTTTATTTCAATAGTGCTTCTACAATGTAGATTGTGTCAAAGCAGATTAACATAGAAGTTCTAGTAAATACATTACAGTGGGTGACCACGATAAAAGAGACACACAAAGGACAGATCGCAAATCAGATTCATTCCGTACGCAACCAAAGTAGGCAACTCGTGTAGGCTGTAAATTGTCAGAAGGAAATGTCTCATCATGCACTACTTTAGTCTTGTGTTGAAAGATGCAGCTGCTGTGTCATCCTGGTGCTGCAATTAACCACATTAAAAAAGCACCAAACTCCCCCCTATAGCCTACTTCCACTCGCTCTATTAGGATTTATGAATTGGATTTCATGAGCAGACCTCAAAACCTCAATTATGCTTTTTATATTTATTTGAATGAACTGAGGTGTAGTCTAGTGCAGGGGTTCAGCCCGCGACCCCCAAAATAACAATGCCAGTAACTCGCAACCCCCAAACAGCCTCTGAGGTGGTTATAAACAACCTTGCATGTAACTTCGCACCAATAGGCCCAAGTCTATTCTTTGTTTATTTTCTTTTAATGTATGTAAGTGCTGTAAATGTGCCAGAAAGTTTAGCCTGGTGCCATAAAATCAATGTGCTGCATATAATAAAGTTAATTTGATTTTTGGAAATCACCAAGCGACCTCCATTCATTGTCCTGCAACCCCCAGATTAGGAACCTCTGGTCTAGTGCAAAACACGTGGATTCAAATGAATAAATATTTATTGATATATTTACTTAGGCAACTTATTTATTAAAGTTATATATTTTTTTAAAGCATGAACAGATGTTTATTAAATTTTAATAAAGTTATAATATTTTTAAAAGCATAAACAGATGTTTATGAAACTGTTACCCCTTACTGTAGATTATGAGGTGGATAACTGTAAAATAGCCAGTGTTTTGCTGTAATAAAAGGAAAGTGTATTTTACTGTAAAAGTATTAGGATTTGTATGAAATTGTGTAGTGCAAAAAATAAATTACAGTAATTTACTTTATGTACTCATTACAGGTAGTAACTGTGACAATAAATAGTAAAATACTGTTAAACCATAACTGCCCCATCTCCTCTGATGCTTTATGTTGCTTTTTATAGAGAAGTGCATTTATATTAAGGCAGAAAACAATGATTTAGGCTTTAGCGCACACATGCACAGGATGTCTGTCTAATTGTAAATCCAAAATTGTTCCAAAATGTTTTCAGAAAATGTTGGCCCTTTAAAGGAAGCCAAGTGCTTGATTTGTTTACTTCTGAGTGTGCTCCATTCTTTGTCTATTAATTCAGATGCAGAGTCTGATGTTTTAGGCCTTAAATAAGAATCTACAATGTGTAAGTAAAATATGTTTAAATGTTTTTGAGGGTTTTTTAAAAGGCTGTGTATTAAGTTATACTGCTGTCATCTTGAACTGTGTACTTTGTTGTCTACATTGTTAGATAACTGGCAGTAGTGTTGCCAGTATTCTGCTGTAAAATAGCTTGGTGATGTCTAACAGTTTACTAATTTAGTGCTAATGATAATATATTGCATGCATCACCGTGTTACTTTTTGACATGGTGATTATTTTTTATAATCTGTAGTGTTTGCAGCATCCACCAAAATGAAGAAACTTCATTTATAGCTACATTTTAATAAATAAAACAGATTTGTTGTCTACAAACTGTTGTGTGAAAACAATTGTCTTGTTAAATGATAACATTATCATTTAAAATGTGGATTTCATCAGTGGATTGCAGGACAAAACTAAAATTATTATTAAATCTGAAATATTGATTTGGTCAAAATAACAAAGACGTGACATGTTTTCAGACAACACAATAAAGAAAATAAATAAATAAAAAACAAGCGTTAAAAATAAAAATTATATTTTGCAGCCTGTTTAAAATATATTAAACCAGAGGATGTATTTATATAATAGTCTAAAATATACAGGGTATTAAAATGTAAAATATATTTCAATAAACTTTTTTAGGAATAAAATTGGCTATAAAACGAAAATACATAAGCAATAAATCCAGAGAAACTGAATAGGCTGTCCATGTGGTCTATAAGTTAATTTTATACATATCTCACACACACACACACACACACACACACACACACACACACACACACACTGGATTAATTATTTTTACATTATTGGACATATATCCAACAATAAATGACTATAGGTTGACACCTCAGATATTTAAACAGCACTTCATAGTTTTGACTTCTGTCAGTCATGCTCCGCGCGTTGTTTACAGTCAAACAGTGTTGCCGCCATTGGCACCTTTATCACCAGCGCGCGCTCGTCTGGTCGAGCTCGAGCAGCTCGGCACTAAAATAAACCTGTGACGTCAGTCTCGGGGATTCAGTCGGTCCTCCGCCTCCGCCCTTTCCCTGCGCCGCCATGAGGAGTTCAACGTGACCGCCGCTGAGTACAACCGGCAACAACAAACTGAGCCGCAGCACGAGAGAGACACGAGCGCCTGCACGTTGCGCGCCAAATGCTCCCGGTGTGAAATAACGGCGCGTTAGCTCCCGCGCGCATCTGCTACTATTGTGTAACCATGACAACGGTGCCGTGCACGTTCATGTGCCAGCATCATGTCAGGGGAATTTGTTAATGAATACTTGCATTATATTGATGGAGCGCAACAGGTGTTCTGGACATTATTCATTTCACATCCGCTTCTGTCTAGAAGCTTCGGCAGGCTGCACGCACACATTTGGAGCCGTGTGTTGTGTGTTTGTGAAAGAATAACAAAATAATCCTTAATGCAAACACACCGAGCGATTTGGTAAATAAACTAAAATTTGAAATATGTTTAATGCTTTTTTAAAAATAAATATCCAAGATTAATGCATTTTATGCAAATTATTTAAACTAAAATTAATAAATAAAATAATAAATATAATTTATACTTATACTTTATATTTAAGCAATATATAAAATTCAATAATTACAGCTGATCATATTAATAATATGTATGAGCACTGCATGATTATATTTATTATTTAAAATATTTGTATTATATTTAGTTGTTAAACACAAATTATTTAATATATTTGTATTGTTTAATGTAGTTGTTTATTAGCATAATATAGCTGATAAATATTACTTTACATTAACACTATTATTAATATAGGCACGTAGTTTAATATATTTCAAAAATATATTGGAATTAAATAAGTAAAATTGATCACATGAACAATGTGTGTGTTTGTAAAATGGGTTTCATGTGTTATATAACTCAAAACGAGTCTATGCGCATTCTTACATTAAGACTATAATAATTTATAATATGTACTGCTAATTTTGCAAAGAAATATATCCACAGACAGTACAGAACAGATAAAAATCCAAAGACATTTTAATGATCTGATTATGTTTGTAATTCAGTCAAGAATAATTATGAAAATCATTTGCAATAAATGTTTTTAAGTATAATTATTCTTCATACAATACTCGGAGCCATGTCAACATTTGTATATATATCATCGTTTTAAAGTCAATCCAGGATAAGGCGCTCATTACACAGTGGACTAACAAGCCTCCGAGAGAAGAGCTGTTGTTGTGCGCGCAGAGAGAGAGAGAGAGCGAGAGAGAGGCGGGGGGGAAAGAGAGAGAGATAGAGCGAGCGAGCAGCATGGTGGTACACGGGACACGGGAGGGCGGCGGTCTGCTGTAAATGGGTTGAGCTCTGAAAGCGCCGTCACACACGTGAGGCTCATGTGACTGGAGCTCGAGACGTGTCTGCAGTCACAGGGTTTATTTAACACGTACTTCAAATCCACCCACATACACTCATTTAACCAGCACCGGAGCCGACAAACGCCTCCTGCATCTCCACCTCACAACAACACCACTTCTGCGTCCTACTTCTGAGGCTTGAATCTGGAAAGAACTACTTCATTCGAGGAAAACACATGTGGACTTTGATAAGAGAATAACGGATTGTTTTTTTATTTTTGTATCTACTTTTTGTTATTATTATTTTTGATTTACCCTATTCTTACACCAGTAAGACACTAGGGTGAAATGGAGAGGATTACCAGTGCTCAGCCTCCTCCGTGTATGTCCAAACACCCCTCGCTGGATATCTCTGACATGCAAGGGTAAGTCAGTCTCCTCAAGCTGTTTTGTGTGTGTGTTTGTGTGTGTCTGTGAACGCGACGCAGTTCTCTTATTGGCTCTATTTTACTTTATTTTATAGAATGGACTTTCCCATGTATGTGTATAAACCCAGACGAGGAATGAAGCGCAGTGAGGACAGTAAGGTACGAATGCGTAATTACGCACAAATATGAATGCGCACGCTTTTACTTATGACCTTTCTCTTATTTAAATGTATTTTGATGTTCTAAACAAGTGCGCAATTTGCCTTTTATTATTTTTTGCTTGTTTTTATGCATCGAAGTTAATATATAGTTTTATCTGCTGACCCCCAGGATACGTACAAACTGCCTCATCGATTGATCGAGAAGAAAAGAAGAGACCGAATAAACGAGTGCATCGCGCAGTTGAAGGATTTGCTGCCCGAACACCTTAAACTCACGGTAAGTAATATGGGAGTGGATGGGCTCACCTCCTCACTATGTTGTAGTGTAAAGCGCCACCTGCTTGTTGATCATGAATAAATCATGTTTGTCCTGCTTTTGGATTAGTCACGCTCCTACAATGTGCTTGATTTATATTTTATTATATAAAACCTTCACCTTTGGCATTCTGTAGCTGGCATGTTAAACAAGGCGTGTTAGATTGTCATTCAGAGAATTTGAATATTTCTAACACGCACATGTGCATGCACTGGTGAGCAGAGAGGAGTGTCTTCATTCCTGCTCAGTGCAGGTTTGTCCTCTCTGAGCTGCTGCGGAGAGCGTTACATAAGAAAGATCAACATGCTTATCTGGGTTCTTCCTGTTTTAGACTCTGGGACACTTGGAGAAGGCTGTTGTCTTGGAACTCACACTCAAGCATGTGAAGGCTCTTAACAACCTGCTGGAACAGCAACAACAGAAGATCATTTCCTTGCAGAATGGATTGCAAATCGGTGAGTTTTTGATAATACCAAAAGGTCGGCACATCAAATGTGTGACCATGTTGCAGGAAGTGGCCCCGCTGAACTTTTCACCTCCCCTCCCCTTTCAGTTGTTTTTGAGTGCATTACAAAATAAAGAAATTGAGACATGCTTGCGCAACACAAAGAATGATCTGGCCTCAGGGAGTGTTGTGAAGGAAAACTTGGACTTGTTCTAACCTCATTGTTTTGTTGTTTGCAGGCGAACAGGGAAATGGGCCCTCAGAAAACAGTGAAGAGATGTTTCGTTCCGGGTTCCACTTGTGCGCCAAGGAGGTTCTTCAGTTCCTGGCCAATCAAGAGACCATGCGTGACCTGACCACTGCTCACATAATCGAGCACCTTCAAAAAGTGGCATCTGAGCTCATTCAGAGCCCACCGAGTCCTCGCCTGGACGAGCCCGCTCCCAAAGCTCAAGAGAGTCGGGAGAAACCATCAGGCCTACAGCCAAAGGCTGCAGAAGGTCATGCTAAAAACTGTGTGCCTGTCATTCAAAGGACTTATCCCCACAGCAGTGAGCAGAGCGGGAGTGATACGGACACCGACAGTGGCTATGGGGGCGAGTACGAGAAGCGTGACCAGAAAGCTCAGCGGCCGGACTGCTACGTAAAAGAAAGCGGGGCTCTCAAGTACAGCAGCAGCATTAAAGAGGAGCAGGATGAGCCACCAAGCAAACGGCCGAGGTCAGACTCCTCAGAAGATGAGTCTCTGTCAGGGCATGATGTAGTGGGCGGCCACAGCCCCTACGTGAGCTTTTCGCCACCACAGCCCCTGTGCATGCCCTTCTACCTCTTTCCGCCTGGCGCGGCTGCCGCATACTTGCCTATGCTGGAGAAGTGTTGGTACCCAGGGGCTATGCCCGTATTGTACCCAGGTCTCGGTAGCTCCCCTGCAAGCCTCTCTCCTGAGAAACTCCCCTCATCCATGGTCATGTCCTCACGAGTGGGCTCTCCTGTCTCCACTCCCACCTCCATGGACTCTCCTGCACTCCTGCAGGCCCTCAAACAAGTTCCTCCATTAAACCTGGAAACCAAAGACTGAGGACTCCATCTGGGGTCCACCACCAGCCCGCTCTCTGAATGTTTTGGTCTCGAGAGTGGACTTCCCTGCTGAATAAGCTCCCGAAGAGGGTTCGGTTGAAGAGGGCGCAAAGGCAAAGTTCAAAGCAGCGAAGCAGCGCCCTCAAGCACAGCGAACAGCTGTTCTGATTCCTCTCAGAAGTACGCCGGCCTCCCTCCAACACACACAAACACACTCTCTCTTATCAGCTCCCTCCGCAACCAGCAGACACGCATCCAGAGACAGAACTGTCCCAGACGGGTAAAGGAGGCCCCGTGCAAAGCACTGTGAGACACTGTGAAGAAGGTCAAAAAGAGGACAGTGAGAGCTGTTCTCTGAGTAAAAGTATCTGGGGAGGGTGAACGGCTGCTCTCTGCACTTATGCCGAATGTTTAAGTCGTAAACAAAACTAAACCCAGAATGTGACGTGCAGATGGTCCCCCATTGATAAGGACTTTGCCCTTTGCACAAGCACCTTTTCATTTGTTGAATGTAAACGAAAAGTCCTTTTATAATAAAACATCACCCCTGTAGATGCTGCTTTTTGGACATTTCTCTGTGCCGTGGACGCTTGATCAGGAAGCTCCACTCTCTTCTGCTTCTGTGACTGCTTTAACCAATAAGAGTCGTCCTTTTAGACTAGAAGGCTACCAAATAAACGTCTTTGCATTGGTCGACTGCGTGCACGTTTACCATCTCGCGCTCATCTGAGTTTTCTTGCATAAACGAGGACGCCACGGACTCTTGAGACGTGACGCTCGTGTAAATACGGGAGTGATGTAATCACGCTGTAGCTTCTTGAGTTTGTCATCCATTCGTGCACGTAGCTGAAGCTGTTGTGAGGTATCCGCGTTGTGTAATTATTTTGTTTATACTTCTTGTACATCTGTATTTTTGATACGTGACCCACACCTTTGAGTTTCTAGACAGCCGAGCGCTGTATGCCATGAGATTGTGTACATAGCATCATGTTCTGTGTTCATTTCTGGTCAAATTAGGACAGATCTTTGTTCATGCTGTTGCCTTTACCTGTTTAAAGCAGTAAACATGATGGCGGATATTTACATTTTTGATCCTGGATTCTTCATAGAAGCAAAAGAAAGTGAATGTAATGTTCAAAAAAAAACAATTAGTTTTGTATAGGAAGAGGTACTTACTTTTTATTTTGGGACCTAAGAGAAGGTTGCTTGATGTATATATTTTGTCTAAAGGTATTGTTGACATACATTAAAGTAAAAGTATTATTAAAGTCTTTTTTTCCCTGTGGATATTGTCTGTGTATGTGCCTTGGAAAGCTCCAAACCATGTTTAGCAGCAAAAACAACATCGCTGTGTTTTTCCCATCACAGTTCGTCCTTATGTAACACTTACATAACCCATAAAACTTGCTCCGACCATGCAAATCCTTTAGACACACAATATGATAAGAGTCAGGTTACAAATATTCCAACCAGCCTCCTAACTAAAGTCCACTTGGCCGTAATAAAAAGTGTCAGGTTTTGTGACGCAGGTCAAGCCACTATTCGTATTATTAGTCTTCAAAACTGCTTTACATGTCCGAAATGCATCACGTCCCTTTCTAATGCAGTTAGCTCCTGAATTAGGTTAAGTCTACCTCTCCCCGCGTGTTTGGCTGTGTGCTGGATTCAGCGCAGCTTCACTCCTCCTCCGCCCGCTGGGAAGTGAGCAGGCAGCGGTGTAATAATCACGCACATGTAGAGGCACACGGCAGACCGCCAGACACATGCACATATCCAGCGCAGTCCGGCCAGCTCCAGAATAAACACACGACAGCAGTCCATGATGATTAATAGGCGCTATATTAACAGTGTCATTTGTTATTAATAGATTTGAAAGGTCAATTATATAATAAAGCAAATTATATTAAGTTAAAGTGATCCTTAGGTATCGTGTTTTTTAAAAATAAAAAAGTATTAAATATGCACAGAAACAAAAAACAGGTTGATACAATAAACAAATGATTAATAGATAAATAAATAAATAAATAAATAAATAAATAAATAAAAAATAAATAAATATATAAATACGTAAATTAACAAATAAAGAAATAAAGAATAGACGTACATTCCAGGGTAAAACAGCAACAACAAAGCAATCAGATATGTCAAATAGCCTGACATAAAAAATAAGGCAATATAGAAGTGCAAAAGTTCAGATGTGCATTTGTATTCAGCACAATTTAAAACTGCTTGTAGCAACAAGTGTCAGATTCTCCTGCTGCGACATGAATAGCTCATCTATCTGTCATCTTAAAGCTTGTAGCGCCATCGTGTGTCGTTTTAATCAACTGCAGCGAATCCCCAAATACTCAATTGTGTATTTTTAAAGTAATTAAACTTAACCATTACCAATATCGTCCAAATCATATGCTTTTACCCGTTTGTCAGCAAGAAGTTTGTGATCATTTAAAGTATAACATCAATGACACTTTGCATTTACACGTTTATTTTATAATGTTTTTATTATCATAGCAATAAATAATTTTCATAATGAAAATAATTTTTGTTGAGCATTCTTATATTTTGTTTTATTTTACAAAATGCCATTTGAAACTATTTAGGTTAAACTGACTTCTGAAAAAATATGTGGCTAATTATTGTAAAATGTCTTTGTATCGTTTAAGTTTCACAGTTGAAAGAAGGAAAGAAACAAAAACAAAAAGAAATCATTTCATGTGATAAATAGATTTGGAAAATCTGTGTATCGCTTTGTTTGCATAACAAAAAAAAAGTTTATTTATTGACAAAATAATTTTAATTAAAAAGCAAGCAATGAAAATGTATTATTCAAACAAATAAAAATGTATATAAAATGCTTGCATTGTTTAGGATAAAATAGTGCGACTAGTCATGCATGTTTTATAAAAATTAACAGTAATCTGCTTATTTTAATCAATTTTAAAATACAGATATGTTACATAAAAATGTAAAAATAAATTAATATACATATTTTACACGATGCAATCGGTTTTCTCAAATGGTTTGAGTTACCTTGTTAACTTACCTTATGCAAATATTGTTTTTGCAAGGATACACAGATTTCCAAATCTTCTTTTGATTTCTTGCTTGTTCATTTTATTTTTATTTCATTAAAAAAGCGTTGTTTTTTTCTAGAACGTTATTTATTTGGCTACGTTTTTATGTTTCTTTCCTTCTTTTAACTATGAAAATTAAAACATACAAAGACATTTCACAGCAAATATAGCACATATTTATTTCAGAAGTCAGTTTAACCTGCTTCCTTTCTGAAAATGGCGTTTTAATAAAAGTAAAAAATATACTGTATATACTCTCTCAGAAATAAATACACGAGCTGTCACTGGGGTGGTACCTTCTCAAAAGGTACACGTTTGTACCTAAAGGGTACACACTGGTACCTTAAAGTATACATTAGTACCTAAACATTTTAAGTGGAACACTTTTGTACTTTTTAGGTACTAATATGAACCCTTGAGGTATTAATGTGGACATTTTAGGTACAAATTTGTACCTTTTGAAAAGGTACCACCCCAGTGACAGCGCATGTACTTTTTGTTTCTTAGAGTGTAGAAATTATATATTCTTATATATATCCTCAGTATTATGAAATGTATGTCCATTGAAGTTCAAGTACACCCAAAAAGAAAAGTTTTGTCATCATTTACTCACCATTCACTTATTCACAATATTTGAGTTTCTTTTTCTGTTAAACACAAAATTATATATTTTAATTTTAAGATTGTTACACATCTACTTCCAAAAAATACTATGGAAGTCAATCGATCCCAACAACCAGCATTTTTCTAAATATCTTCTTTATGTTCAGCAGAAGAAAGAAACTCAAATAGGATTACAACCACAGGGAGAGTAAATGATGACATAATTATTTTTTTTTTGGGGGGGGGGAGACATTACAATAAACATAACACTATCAAGATATGTTAATTATAATAATCTGAATAATGAAGTTTTGTTAATAATCTATTTATTTTGTTGATTAAGTTTCATATTCATAAGTGTACAATTTTCAACAAAAACCCTGATTTACGTTTTATAAGGAACTGAAAAATTACTTTTGTATTATTCAACATTAAAACTGCCATTTGTGCTCTATTTTCATAATTTTTGATTAATGTAAAGGTCCTGCTTGTTTGTAATTGTAAGTATTGGGTTTGATTATTTATACTCTTGTTTTTTGTGTTTGTTTTGTTTCCTTATTTTTAAATATTTTTTTATTATTATTTACCTTCTATCACGCGGGCATTGTTGTTTCATGTATCTGTTGTTTAAAGCATAATCATAAAAAATAAATACAAAAATAAAAATAAATAAACAAATACTATTGGACTTTTGTTCTATCGGACTTTTATTCTGAAAGTTAGCGTCAAGGTTGAGCGGCACGTTTGATGCGCGTCAGCTGATGTCACATGACTCGAGCCGCTTCCTCTTTCAGACTTTTTTTTCTATCTCCAGCAGGAACACAGACTCATCATCCTGACCGTCGGATTTGTCCCGCAGCAGCGCAGAGATGTTGTCCCTCTTCCACCGGCTCCTCGACTGGATCAGGTCGCTCTTCTGGAAGGAGGAGATGGAGCTCACGCTGGTGGGCCTTCAGTACTCCGGGAAAACCACTTTCGTCAACGTGATTGCTGTAAGTCTGCATTCAGTGCTTGTCTGAGTTGTTGATAATGTACTGCTGTCATGTGTAAATGATGTCATGCTGTCATGCTGATGACTCAAGGCCAGACAGAGGCGGAGGACAGCTTTAAAACCTGTTTATATTAGTCATGTGCTGTGAAGAGTTTGGTTGGGATGTTTCACATAGGGTCAAGTTTGCATATGATATGTTATTTATTTACAAACCATGTAAAGTTTAATGATTGTATTTTGTCAATGATATGACTTTTAGGGTTTATGAGATGGTCACTAGCGTTTTATAGTTTCTAAGAGCTTAATGTAATATACATATAATGTAAAATATCATAATTTAATATACAGAATCTATATGACTAGTTAAATTCTAACTTCTAAATTCTAGATTATTATTTCCTTCTAAGATATTCTATTATATTATATTATATTATATTATATTATATTATATTATATTATATTATATTTATTGTATTATATTATTCGTTTTTAAAGCATTAAAATAAGAAATGGGGCTGTTTTCTTTTATATAAAGCATTTAAAATATGTATAAATATTTTTAATAAATTATATAGTTCGAATTATATAATATTATATTACATTACATTACATTACATTACATTATATTATATTTATTCATTCATTCATTCATTTTCTTTTCGGCTTAATCCCTTTGTTAATCCAAGGTGGCTACAGCGGAATGAACCGCCAACTTATCCAGCACGTTTTTATGCAGGATGGCCTTCCAGCCGCAACCCATCACTGGGAAAAATATTATATTATATTATATTATATTATATTATATTATATTATATTATATTATATTATATTATGTGGCCACTGACGTTTTGTAGTTTATATAAGTTTAACCCTTTAATGCACTTCATGGGTCTAAATTGACCCGTCTGTTTATTTTTTCTATATCTATTTTATAGCTTGTGCATCAAAGGGTTAATATAATATAAATACAATAAATGTAATATAAAATAATTTAATATACAGAATCTATGTAACTAGATAAATTCACTGCAAAGTTAAACATTTAAGCTTTAGGATTATTGTGATTTAAAAAAAAAATTGTGATTATTATCTCCTTCTAAGATATTATTATTTATTTATTCATTTTCTTGTTGGCTGAATCCCTTCATTAATCCGGGGTTGCTACAGCGGAATGAACTGCCAACTTATCCTGCACATTTTTACGCAGTGGATGCCTTTCCAGCCGCAACTCATCACTGGGAAACAAAACAGAACTAAATTATTTAAATAAAATTTTAAACTATACTTAAAATTAATGGCAATTAATTGTCAGCACAAAAATCATGATTTTGACAGATCTATCAGTAATGACATAAAAAAAGGCATTGTCATGAACAATATTTTTTCTGTAATACGCTCCATCTCATTTACACAAACCTGATTTTATCACTGGGCAACATGCTTGACTGAGTACCAGTGACTATCCCACTTAGGGGATTTTGAAAACTTGTCCTTTTGCTTCCCAAATTTGCTTCTGCAATGCAGCACAGTGGGTTTATAAACCAAAAACACCCTTTTGCTCATCAAAACATGTTGGTTTTATTTTTATGAGGAAAAGAAACTGCTCCTTCGGGTGTCATTAATAAAAACAATTCCCGCTTCGTATGACCACTGATAAATGTGATCCTATAAGATTTAAGATTAATTAAAAGCAGATATACTGTAATATGATGACGATGATCCGGTGGTATTGCACACAGCAAGAAATGGAGAAGCACCACAAGAGGAAATGATAAAAATACAAGGTTTCACCACCCAGGTGTTTTGCATTATGAGCGTATACAGTATGTGCCTAAACTCTTTTCAGTCATGAGGCGTTTGGAGTATAATTATTAAGGGAACTTCTTGTTTTACATTTTCCACTCAAAAGTGATCTGCTTGTTTTAATATTTTACTCTTGCACAGTTTTACTATTGTAGTCGGTCATGAGACTTTCTGGCCTGTTTGAACAAAAATTCGCATTACTGCAGCTAGAAATCTCCAAGACTTGCTTGTGCGAGTGTTTTAGGCGAAAGTTGAAAGCTTTGACTGCACATTATTGTTGACTTCCTCTTATGTGTGCCGTTATTTTTAAACCTTTGCAACCATGTGACTGGATGATTTTACAATGTGATACGGTGAGAGCTGATATGACATTGTAAAGTATAAAAATTCACCATGAGAGTCTAAAAGCTTTGATAACATGTAAATATAACAATATAACTTGTAAAATTGACAACATATTAGTTCTTAGCACTGGTTAGCACATTGAGCTAGACATGCCTTGCCTAGTCATTGTTTTGGTCACGTTATGGTTAAACTTTGCAGTTACTCCACAGTCCTGTGTGTTTTTAACTCATACTCAACTGGAATCTATATTCAACATTGCAGATCCTGTGATGTGACTAGTGCGCATGTGCACATTGTGATGCTGAAACAATATGTTATGCAGCCCTACTATAAATAATGTATTTTGTGACACCACAAAATAAACGATGGAGCATAATGTGAACTGATAGACTTTTTATTTTCATCCATGCGCTATATACAGTTGAAGTCAGAACTATTAGCCCCCCTAATTTATTTGCCCCCCCCTGTTTAATTTTTGCCCAATTTCTGTTTAACGGAGAGAAGATTTTTTCAACACGTCTAAACATAATAGTTTTAATAAATCATTTCTAATAACTGATTTATTTTATCTTTGCCATGATGACAGTGAATAATATTTTACAAGACATTTTTCAAGACACTTCTATACAGCTTAAAGTGACATTTAAAGGCTTAACTAGGTTAATTAGTTTAACTAGGCAGGTTAGGGTAATTAGGCAAGTTATTGTATAATGGTGGTTTGTTCTGTTGACTATCGGAAAAAAATATAGCTTAAAGGGGCTAATTTTTTCCTTAAAATGGTGTTTAAAAAATTAAAAACTGCTTTTTATTTTAGCCGAAATAAAACAAATAAGACTTTCTCCAGAAGAAAAAACATTATCAGACATACTGTGAAAATGTCCTTGCTCTGCTAAACATCATTTGGGAAATATTTAAAAAAGAAAACAAAATCCAAAGGGGGGCTAAGAATTCTGACTTCAACCGTATATGTATCATCATATTGCACAACCACAGTCTACATGTCTTTCTTTTCCACTAGTCTGGTCAGTTCAATGAAGACATGATCCCTACAGTCGGCTTCAACATGAGGAAAGTCACCAAAGGGAATGTAACAATAAAAGTAAGTGTTATCTGCACTGATTATTCTGCTGCATCATGAATGGATTATGAATAAATCATCAATACCTGATATCATGTCATCTTGTTTTTAATATAGATTTGGGATATAGGTGGGCAGCCGCGGTTTAGGAGCATGTGGGAACGATATTGTCGTGGCGTCAACGCCATTGTGTGAGTGATCTGCTGTTCATCATTTTGGAGACTTTAAAAATGGTTTATTCTTTTGCCCTCTGTGATTGGTCAGTGGTGGTTTAATATATGTCTTAATATATAATGACAGTAGTATACTGTAAGAACTTAAAAGTAAAGTAGGCATATTACACTGGAGCCATATCAGGCCTGAGCCAGCATCATGAAATGGGTGGTTCTTTTTACTTTTTTTTTAGTATGGGCCGCTTTGGTGCTTCACACCTTGTTATTGGTCATTTTTTGTTTTAAGATTAAGGTCCAAGATTTAGAAAAAAAAAAAAAAAAAACAGTAGCGAAAGATGACTTCTTAAGTCAGATTGAACTCATGAAAATTATTTGTTAGCATTAGCTAAAATTGATTAGCTTTACAGTCATGACAGCGACCAGAGGATTCCACTTGGTCTTAAAGCCTTTTTCAATGGATTGTTTTTACTATTTATGATGAAACAGCAGTCAAAATAGGACAAATGAGCTTATGTATGGGGCAAATTCTGGACCTTTGTCAGTGAGGGGTGGGTCTTCCGAACACCCCCTGGCTACAGGCCTGCATATATATATATATATATATATATATATATATATATATATATATATATATATATATATATATTTTTTTTTTTTTTTTTTTTCTAGCAAGTCAATAGAAAAAAGCCGATTAATAATAATAATAATAATAATAATAAAAATAATTAAATATGCACTGCTTCAAAACATTGGGTTCAGTAATAAATAAATGTGAAAAAATTGTGAGAAATGACAACATTATTATAAAATCAGATTTCTATTTCAATGTGATGTGATGTAATTTTGCTTTGTAATATTGTGTGATGGAAAAGCTAAATTCAGAAACAGTTGTTATGCTTGATTATGATTTTCAGAATTTTTCAGAATAGATCATTTTTATTGTAAATAGCAATCATTATATTTTATAACACTATAAATGTATTTATGGTCACTTTTGAAGTGAATTCAATATTACAAATAGAAGTTTAATTTTGTCACTTATCCCAAATAAATAATTAAAGTTTCATCTTATTGCTTTTTTTTGTTCTGTAATGGACGATTATTTCATGAACTTATATTAGAGAACAGAATAATTTCCCTCAAATCAATTTTTCATTCCTATTTGCTTACTTACTTGAGTAATTAGTGGGCTAAAGTTCTGTCGTCTGAACATCATTACAAAATAAACCTTTTGAAGTGTGTTGAGGATCACCATATGAGCATTTATTAGTACAATAAGATCTGGCTTATTTTGTATTTATTCTTACATACAGTATTAGTTTTAGCATCACATTTATTTAATTTATCAATGTTAATTAATGAATTAATACCTCTGTGGTTATTTTCAGGTATATGGTGGACGCCGCAGATCGTGAAAAGGTGGAAGCCTCAAGAAATGAACTACACAACTTGTTAGACAAACCACAGCTGCAAGGCATTCCTGTAAGAGGATTTCTGCCATAATAAAGGGGACATTTTATGCAAAAATCACTTTTATAAGGGGTTTAAACACAGTTGTGTGGCAACACTTTAGGAATATAGCCAGCCTCATATGGTAAAATAAATGAATTATATTTTGTATAATCACACTTCATAAAAAAAGGCTGCATAAATAATTTGATTAATATTCTCATTTTATACGTGTCATCAAAGTGGGAAAGCCCTGCCCATTAGTGATGATGCCTCCCTCATTAGCATAAACAGCTCTAAGTGAGAAGCAGCCCTCTGCTATTAAAGTTTTGAATCTGTCACTATGCTGACACATAGGTGTTTATGGCTCCACCCCCTTTTTGAAAAGGCTTGGAGCACAATCTAATGGGAATTTAAAGCGACAGTCAGCAAAACGCCGCAATTAGGATCAAAGCCTAAAATGGGGAGATTCAGAGAATTCTAAAAGACTATCTGTGCACCATTTTGAGCTGAAATGTCACACACACACATGCTCTAGAGACATCAGAGACTTATTTTTATATCTTTTACACCCTTTAATGTAGAGAATAATTTCCTAATAATTGATGTTAATAGAGGATCTGCACCCTTCAATCTCTTAATAATAGTTTGTGTTGTTTTATTTGCACTAAATTGACAAAACCCACTGAAAATTAACAAGCCCTGCTATCGTACCACACCTTTCCCAGATCTTTCCAGAGCTGCTGTGTCGTATTTTAAGGAGCATGACTAAGCATCTGTAGCGTCAGCTCCTGAGGTCCGAGATGTCCTCACTAGGGGGTCATTAAAGGTCTTATCTTCAGCAGAGAAATCAACGCAGAGGAAACAGATCACTCATTGATTATCTGTCTGTAAGGAGTGATGGGAATTCTGCCAGCGCCGTTCAATGTTTGCTAAATCCACCAATATAAAAAGACAGCTTTAGCACACTCTGATGTAAAACCAACACCCAGATACATAAATCTTTCAGGATTGAAAGCAAACGTGCCAGTGTGAAACATGCAGTTTAAAGCTAAAGAGATTTAAGAGGTGCATTGTGGGTGATTTATTGTCAACTTATCCTCCACAGGTACTTGTCCTTGGCAACAAGAGAGACCTCGCCAGCGCACTAGATGAGAAACAACTCATTGAAAAGCTGTAAGATTTTTGTTTGCCATTATTTGAGCTTTGAATATGTTTGGGGCCATGAAAGAGACTTTTATAACATTTCCTGTTTCATATTGTAGTCATATAAATGATTTCTGCATGTTTTTGATTTTATAAAATTTTATAGCATCAAACGCGAGTGATTTGCATGTTAATCAATGCATAGATGCGAACAGACATCCTGCAGCGCGATACATGCGAATGAGGCGATTTGCGCGAATGAAGCATTTCGAGTTTTTTGCGTGATTGACGCACTTAATGCACGTATCGTGTGTTTCACGCAAATTGCTCGAGTTCGAAAATCCGAACTTCAGAGGATGTTCACGCTGCGTTAACCAATCTGTAGCTTGCTTTTGTGGGGCGGGGGAAAATCCTCCTGCTGAAACTGGACAACAGTTCATCAACCCCTGAAAGCACCCTCATCCAGGTTAGGTTTCTGCAGGAGTTTCTGAGCTCACCGAGCTGGGTGCACCTCTGAAAGAATCTAGTGGACTCAGACACAGCTCCAAATGAATCTACACTGTTTTTCAGCCTTCATAAAGCACATAAACATTTTCTTAATAAAATCCATGTTGGCCATTTAGCAACGAAGCTACAGTCACCGAGCAGACAGAAGCCCTGCCCATCACGAAAATCCACGTCTGTTGTAAAGTAAATTTAACGTGTTAATGAAGCGGATTTGATGCGCGAATGAAGCGAGTAAACTTAAAATGTTTGCGTGTCTATTTATGCACGAATTTCGCGATTTATCCAGGTTTGCCATGTCTGGTTTGAACACACCATAAAGGTGCGGTATGTAAGTATGACACCCAGTGGTTGAACTAGGTATTGCATTCCTGGATCAAAACAAACACAAGCGCAGTTTGCCAGACTAAAGACCAACCAGCAGCAGCAGCAGATCTCAGATTTTGAAAATGAAATAAACAGTTTAAAATTGAACTTTAGACTCAACAACAACACATATCAGTGATTCAGCATGTGCATTTAATAATATTAAAGAGGTTTAATATGTATTAATTAGATTATAAACCTTACTATTTCATGAGTGACTGCACTTCTGTGCTTCTGAATGGCTGTATTTAAAATTTCTGTTGTGTTTCATCTGGTGCAAACAGCCAAATTGCTTGTCACTGTCTTGTTGTTAGGACACAAGGTTACAATGTAACCTGCTCACCTAATGTTTACGCGCCTAATATCTATAATATTTGCTAATTAATAACCTCATATGGAGCTTTGAATATTATTTCTGAGTGTGCTACTGTCCACCGCAGGTCGCATTTCGGTAACAGACGCATTCTTTGAGAGCCTTTCTGAATGAATGGATGAAACGCATGGTTTTCCAACAAGGCAACTCAGAGTGCTGAAATATAATTGGCTAAAGTGGCACTGGGTGGGTAAAAGGGACCAAAACAAAGACAGCCGTTCTGGCACGCAACATTCGTTTTCAAAGCAGAATATCTGACTTCAGCATTGTTTTTCAGATAAACAAATACGTTCACACAGCATGCTTCTTAAATATCTGCAAACAATATGGTATTTTTATGCTTTACAAGAGTAAAAAACTTACATACAGCACCTTTAACTAAGACAAATATGTACATTTCAAGAGCTTTGGCTACAAAATGGCCTCTTTAAAGACTGGATGCAGTTGTTTCCATTCATTTATTTTCAAAATCCGAGATACATTATTGATTGTTGCTCTCATAATTGTTATTAAATTAATACAAAAATGATATTCAAGATCCAACAATTTTAATATTATGTAAAAAACACAACAGCACCTTGTTTTTCCGTCCCTTATAGGCTAGGGAAATTCAGCCTTTTGATCAGTAAAAGTCAAGGCATTTGACATTTGGCTAAGAGTGGAAACCCTGGACCATACCTGTATCTTTAGAACTGTTTTGGGAGGCTACTCTCAAAAATAGCTAATGTATTTTTTCCCTGCAGAAACTTGTCTGCCATTCAAGACAGAGAAATCTGCTGCTACTCTATTTCATGCAAAGAGCAAGACAATATAGGTGAGTTTTTATTTTATTATAATAGCTTTGCACATGTTTATTGTGTTAAAATTGATCTCAACTTATTCCTTTGGTCATGCCAAGAACATTAATACTAAATATGCCATATTTGTCTAAACTTCCTGTCCGCCATATTGATTTTGTTAAAAAAGAAGTACCAAATTTGACTCGGGTCCTCGTCAGACCATGATGACCAAGTGTTGTGAAATCCGTGTCAATAAGCTAAGTGTTTTTTAATTAAGGCACCGACAAATGTGCTGGTATAATACAAAACTGCATCGAGGTTGTCTCTTTGCAATGCTTTAGATATATTGACGCCAAACTTTAGGTTCTTTATTGTCACCTAACACTGACACCAACACATCAAGTTTGCAACTCTGTCACCTATTGGTCAGAAGTTCTAGACCAGGGGTGTCCAAACTCGGTCCCGGAGGGCCGGTGTCCTGCAGATTTTAGCTTCAACTTGTCTCAACACACCTGCAAGGATGTTTCTAGAAAGCCTAGCAAGATCTTGATTAGCTAGCACAGGTGTGTCTGATTAGGGTTGGAACTAAACTTTTGCAGGACACCGGCCCTCCATAACCGAGTTTGGACATGCCTGTTCCAGACTAATAAATCATATGTTAAATCTTTTCATGTTTTTTTTTATATTTTAAGTGAAACATACTTCAAATATATTTTAAAACTCATTGTTTCATTGGTCTGTTGCTACTAACTTTGTTGTTTTTGGACTGCTTTGATCATTCTGCCTCTGGACAGCTTTTCTCATTCTGCCTTCGGACTGCTTTGCTTGTTATAGGTCTGAACGGCTTTGCTCATTATGGGTCTGAACTGCTTGGCCAATTAATTGCTTCTTGCAGCTATATTAGCTTTTATTTTTAAACTGATGTTTGATGAATTAAAAAAAAAAATACCATTGAAACAGAATAGCAGCTCCCTGCTGGCAGTCGAGTACAATACATACATATACATTGTGGTAGACAACAGCAGTCAAGTTTTTAGGAAATTGTAGAAATCTGCTGAAAACACTTGGGAAAAAATGAGATTGAATCTGGTGCAGTGAACATTTTTTGTGTTCACAAATGACTGGTGGAGTCCTACTGGAGGTCAAGGATATTCACTTCAGTGGCTGACAATTAAATGACTCCTTGATCACCTCGCTGTGACTCAATCGCGCTGCAGCCACTGATTTGTTATGCTACTTTTTGTTTGTGTTTTTTTTTTTAATTTCTATTGATCCGAGAAGCCATCAGTTTGCATTTATTACACTATAAAGAAAAGACTATTTGTATTAATCATGGGTATTAATGTAAAGCATCAGCTCCCTAACTATGTCACATACACAAACCACTTTTGCAGAAAAAAAAAAAAAATTGTAATGGCACACAATAACAATGACATCATTTTTACTTCTAGTCATTGTTTGTTTGTTTCTTTTGTCTGAATTCCTGAAATTAGGTCATAAGCTAAAGGAAACCTACATGAATTGTTCTTATTAATATTTTAAAGCTGCAGTTTGTGATGACATGCATTCAGAAGATATTATGAGTAAAGCAGCATAGAATTTAATTAGCTAAAACAATTTAATACTCCAAAATAAAAGTTATAATGTTACTAAGGGCAAACTTTACTGGGCATCCTTCATTGACTTTATAGACTGGATAAAAAGCCTGGCTATTATCTCATAAGTATTGCATTCCCAATAGTAATTAGATTACAATTACAATTACTATTGACAATAGTATTAAAATTCCTCATAAAATATATCCAGTGAATAATACTGTGGCAAAGTATATGCAGGTTGATAGTTAGTTCATGCTGATTTTGTAAAACTGAAGACGAAACCCTGATTTACATATTTATTTCAGTGTGAAAGCACAAAAAGCTTTTGGAATAGCTTATATCTTCATATAGGTAATTCAATTGCTTCTTCCATCCCCTTTCAATGACAGGATTTTATTTGTTACTTCAAAAGTAAAACCGATATACCAGAGAACTACATTGTTAACTTTTTTTATTTTGTATGAGATATATTTTATTCACAAAAAAAAATTCTCAAATTCGCAACCTTCTTTTTTTTAAAATTTTTTTTAAATTGGAAATATGTGTTTTTATTAAATCTCTTAGGCTGCTTAAAACAAGAAAATTAATAGATACTTAGATTATTATGATCATTATTTTGTTAAGCTATTATCATTGTTACTATCATTGTCTTTTTTAATGTAGGTTCGAATTTTGTATGTTTGTTACAGAAGTCAATAAAGAAAAATTTTTTTTTCTCAGAAAGAGAAAAATTCTGCTGCACCGCACTGAAGAGAAGTATTCAGTGCACTGGTTTCACTCTCAATCCAGCTGTATTCTTTCACATCAGACACGGAAAGCAATGCGCTATGAAACCCATTTATTTCAATGGCTTGTATCATGTAAAGGTGGTTTGTGTCTGCACAAACCATAACAGCCCACAGGACAATTCTATATAAAATACTGTAGTTGTTCCTGTTGCCTGAGATAGCACTACTCTGCTGTCATGGCAACACTGGTAAAATGAAGCCTCTTCTCACATTCACTGTCATATAAAATTATTTAATTTAGATAAATGTAAAAGGTGTTACAAAATTTCTTCATAATATTCAGTAAAATAATAAAGAATAGTTACAAGAATTTTGGTTTTCGATTTTGGTTTTTCGGGCAAGTGCATCGAGAATTTTCATTTTGGTGCATTCCTATCTATGAGAATATAATTTTTTATCTGTTCCTCTGTCCATTTTCTTCCTGCAGATATCACATTGCAGTGGTTGATCCAACATTCAAAATCTCGGAGAAGTTGAGAACAGATCTCGTCCCACCTGTTCAGTCCAATCCTGCTCCAGTTCCAGATCCCGACTCTGCTCCGTGCTCCTCAGATCAGCCAACCCTTCCTGTGACGCAGTTCCTCCCAGCCGCATCTGTCTGTCCTATTCATTCTCTATCACACACAGACTTTCAGTAAAACACCTTCACTGGTGGGCCTCAGAATCAACTCATAATGTATTATCATTCAACTTCTTTGTTGTTGTTGTAGTATTTTATTTTTTCAAGTTTAAGCTGAACCTCTTTTGACCATTGACAAAGCTTTGAGTGTCAGGGGGTGTTGACATATGACACAGTTTGATACTAAAAACCTTGTATGTGATTTGCCTATTCTTTTACACAAAAACAAGCTCTGAATACTGATTTCAAAATGCAAGTACTTTAAAAAAAATGGTATCATTATGTCTCCCTGTAAACTACAAAAATGCAATTTTTGCAACATTATGCAAATTCTGTTTTGGGTCAATTTATAGGCAGGTGTAAATTAGGGTTGGGTTGATAGACGATGCCATCATCCATCGCTGATTGCCAATAGACATCACAATGCTGAGCCAGCATTTTGATCCTCCGCCCTCCCCCATCACAGCAGAAGCCTGCCTGCAAAAAATACTGCTCTGTTTACACTGATACGTCTGAGTTTTAAAATTCCATTTTAGAATGAAAATTATCCACGTCCACACTCATGTTTCATCTAGCATTTCTGTAAAAATCTCCATCTTCACTATACCGCTGAATGTACATGACGTGACCACACACACACACACACACACACACACACACACACACACACACACACTCTGGCATGCGCTGCAACATATGCGCACGTCTGAGCTCCAGGCAGTGAGCAGATGCTGTGAGCACAAAAAGGTGTTTTTCCTTTTTCTTTAAAAAATAAGTTAATAAGGTTTTCTTTAAGTAATATAAAATTTGGAATAATCTCTATTATGACACTGTTTATATCTGTCCCCATTTGGGTGTCATTACAATAACAAAGCCCAGCTCATTAATATTCATCATGCTCATGGACGGGCTTCATAGACGGTAGCCTTCAGCATAAAGCATCTCAATTCTGTAATCTATTCTTAAATATAGGATCCAGTGTGGTTTGATGGACATTGTGGCATTTACATTAATTACAGAGCATTATGTTAAGTGCCTTCTGCTGTTTGGAAACCCAAAATGGATATGGTTGTATATCAGCTATAGTCTAAAATTATTGTAGGTGCCATTATTACCTTTAGCACTGCTTGTTGTATTATTATTATTATTGTATTTAGGATTCATTTACACCCATCCTTTGGTTATGCTTTTGCATAATAAGTGTTATGACCCCTATTATTACATAATTGAAAACAAAGACTGTTTTGTGATCCAATTTAGGTAAAAAACAAAAAAACAAAAAACAAAAATGAATGTGTAGTTAGTTTATTAAGAGCTTTTCCTTTCATTTCCTTTTCCTTGCCTTTTCAATTTTGTTTCCTTTTCTTTTCCCTTTAATTACATTTCCTTTTACTTTCCTTTTCATTTTCGTTTTGCTTTCTTTTCCCTTTCATTTCCTTTAGCCTTTTCCTTCCCTTTTCCCTTACCTATTCCCTTTCCTCTTCCCCTTCCCTTCCTTTTACCTTTCCCTTTCCGTTCTGTTTTCTTTTCCCTTTCCTCTTCCCTTTTACTTTTTCCTTTTCCTTTTTCCCTTTCCCTTCCCTATTCCCTTTCTCTTTCCTTCCATTTCCGTTCCCTTTCCCTTTCCTTTTCCCTTTCTCTTTCCTTCCCTTTCCGTTCCCTTCACTTTTCCTGTTTCCTTTTCTCTTCCCCTTCCTTTTCCTTTTCCTTTCACCTTTCCCTTTCCGTTCCCTTTCCTTTTCCTCCTCCTCTTTTCTTTCCTTTTACTTTTACATTTCCATTCCTTTGCCTTTTCATTTTCCTTTCCTTTCTTTCCCTTTCCTTTTTTATTTCCTTTTCCCTTTTCTTTCCCCTTCCTATTTTCTCTTCTCTTCCCTTCCTTTTTTTCTTTACTTTTCCTTTTCCTTATCAAGCCCCTAAATGCTGCAAAGTTTTTCTCACTTGCTTCTAAAAATTTGCTTTAAAATGAGCTTCAGTAAACAACGGACAAAGTTCATGATTAATTATTTTTTTTTGTTTGCTTGAAGATGCACAGACCTTCTGCTTCAAAAAAGACTTCTAATCTACCTCTGAGGTGATATGAAAAGCATCTAATAAAAATATTTCTAAAACGTAATTGCATTTACTGAGAAGCGTTAGTTGTGCTGCCAAAAAAATCTGGCAGATGCATTGAGTACAAAGTGTTTAGCATTAAATGCAAATATTAGTTGAAGAATATCTGTCACAGTAGGTGACGCGCTAAAACTGCATTTCCCTGAATGTGAACCACTAAGGGAAAATATTCCAAAAATAAGTGTTTATGGGTCAAAGATGAAAAATTGTGATAATAATTAAAATGTAATACAGCTTTAATGTTTGTAATGTCAGTAGGATGCACACCTTAAAATAATGTTATGAATATGTTAAACAAGAATCATTAGATGACATTTTTAAAGACTCGCAGTTAAAATGTAACTCAATTGAGGAGGTCACTAATTTGCTCATATATTTTTATAAGTACAGGTCAGAATAAGTATACAGTAATTGTTATTTCAACCCAAGCTTTGATTATTAATTTTCCTAAAAATAATTAAATAGTTAAATAGTCTAAATGAGTCCCGTTAACATGTTTTTGCCCAATTAAGCTGTACGGTTTGTGCTTTTTAATTATTATTATGGTTATTGTTGTTGTTTTTATTATGATTCAAGTGTTGGGTGCTAACACAATCATGCTATTGTTAATTAAAATATTGTGTTGTTTTTTTCAGTTGTGTATTTTGTAGCTTTGTTAAGTTTTATAAAATATGCAGAAATAAATCTTGAAATGAATTATTGTTTTATGAAACTGTACTTGATTGTTCATGATTGAAAGTTTATAAAGGGCTTTATAATATGGCACATGCATTTTCTTTTTCCATTTCAAATAATCTTGGTATCACAGATTGTATTTATTTACTTTTTAATTCCTATACGGAGCACATCAATGGCCTTGATATTTTATGTAATCATCATTCCTGCAACCTTTGAACACAAGACTAAGCCCTTTTTTCTTCCCCCCTTTTTTTTTTTTTTTTTTTTTACATATCTTTCATTTTCTGGTCATTGTTCATTCCCTCAGACATAATGTGTGCTGTTGGTTCTGCTCTCTTCTAAAAGCTGCAGGTCTTTGGGCAACGCTTGTGTCCTCATGTGATTCTCTCTGTGCAGCCTTTAAACACTATACATACAAAATGGTTTTCTCTCCTTCATGTGACTCTCCACACATGAAAAAGTCAGTGGATCTGTGGGAGACTTTGTAAATAAGCAAATGTGAAGCGTTTGAAAAAAACGTGAAAGAGTGCTCTTATTTGTCTCTCTTGCATTATTTTGTTTCGTGATCGCTCAATAAATTTTTTTAGGGTGACTGTCAGTTTGTTTTGTCTTGACTGTTACATTTGACAGTGTTAAATTCATATAAAGTGAATACAATTTTATGGGGTGTTTAGGGTAAAAAAATGTATGATTATGGTCATTTTTTTAGGTTCAATGACACATTATAATGCACAGAAATGCAAATGATGTAGTTTAATGAACTATTTATTGTTTGATGCAGTCGACCTTGACCCATAAATCTGCTGTTTAATGTAAGTTTTGTGAAGCGTTTCCAAAATTTTGACCAACATTTTAGCTGCAAAATAGATGCAAACTATAAAGATTTATTGTTGGCTAAAAAGAAAACACTACAAAAACGAATAAATATGGATAAAGTAACTAAAACAAATAAAAATCATGAAGTGCAGTACGTCAAAAGGACACATGGTGGCAACAAAGCGCCGTAGAGTGTAAGTGAAGCTTTGAGTTTGTTTGAAACCAGGTGTAAGTGTGTGTGTGTCAGGTTTTGAAAATGATTTAAGCCTAAAAACCGTGTCATATTTAATATTTAAGCGCATTTATTATAATAACTCTAGTAATTAATCAAAGTATATGTGTTGGGTGGTTCTTTTGTGTAAAGTCACTCTATCGAGCTGTTAAGGCCCAACTGCCTAGTCGTTCAGGTAAGTAGTCTACACCCACTAAAATTACACAGAACATTAAAAACACATCCGAAGCTATTAATCTGGGTCCGTGTACGTTTTGTATTTAGGTGAACGCAGTGAGCCGAAATGCAGTACTAACGACTGCATGGCGCTAACGACAAAGATGGCCGAAATGAAAGCTGAGAAAAAGGAGTGAGGTTGGTTAAAGAAATGATTACCCTTCGAAGAACATTAGTTGTGGCAAACCCAAGTTTTTTTCTCTCTCAAAATACAGGGTGTCCACGGGGTCTTAAAATGTCTTAAGTTTCAAAAACTAAATTTTAGGCCTTACAAACTTAATTCACTGAAAAATTGTTGAGAATAATTTTAAACATGTCTTAATTTTGCTTTTGTACAACTAAAACCGACTCAGTCGGGCCAACATTCATCTAATCACTAACAATACATCTCAATAAAACCCTAATTTTTAAATATTTTTTAATATTTAAGTTTTTATTGCAAAGAGATACAATTCACGACAGCAGTTAGTCATTTTTCAATGCAAATTTCCCATCAAATTCCCTAGCCAGGGAAAGATAACTAAAGACAATTATATGATTCATCATGATAATACCTGGATTAAAAAATCCTGTGTTTTAACCCCATATATAAGTCTAAAATGTAATTTTAATGGTCTTAAAAGGGCCTTAAAAGTCTTAAATTTGACTTGATGAAACCTGCAGAAACCCTGATATAATTTTTTTTTATTAATTTGAAAATAGCCAGAAACTCATGTCTCATATAGTTTATGGCGCTTCAGTTTAAAATGTGAGGTAAGAATTTTGTCTAAGTAACCAAGTAACTAAATATTCATTTCACCTGTGATATCAAGTGATGCACTCTACACAACTTTTTTGTCATGTTTTGTCATTTTTATTTGAGAATCGACTGAAACATTCACAGTATTTATGAACTGTAATTTCTGCTCTTAAAGTGCCCCTATTATGCATTATATAAGGGTCATGGTTTGTTTTTGTGGTCCCCAACAACCGGCTGATATCCATACAAGGTTAAAAACAATTTAATTAAAAATCAAAATGCATTTATTTTTCACCTAATTATGCCCTTAACTAAAATATGATTTGTGATTTTTTTTTTCTTTAAACCCCTGCTTTCTATGAGTAGTGTCAGTCCGTTAAGTTTGGTGTACTGTGTGCAGTAGATTCAGAAACGAAATGGCCTCCACAAGCAGCCATAATACAGATGTGTGAGCCCAATCCATGAATGCATTGATAAACCAATGCAGTTACACCAGCTTGTTGCTCGATTCTTTAAGTGAAAACAGTGCCATAGAGT